GGGTCTCCGAGGATGCAGTTAACCCGTCAATTGAAATTTAACGCCAATTGCAAATATTTGCATTTTTAACGTACTTTGAAAAGCTCTCGCGTCACTCTCAATCATTTTCCCAGAGAAATTTGTACAGGAATCTGTAGACCATCCTTAGGCGATTTAACCACAAGAAGCTTAATCCATTTGAAGGTTTCGCACATGATGAAAACCACTTATTTTTTCAAAGTACATTTAAGTAAATGAAATACATGTCTTCGAAATTTAATTATTTTGCTTCCAAAAAATAACGCAGCATTTCCCCCAAACCAACCCAGTCTACATTTAAACAATGAAAAAGAAAAATATTTGAGTGTTTTAAAGACGGAAGAATAATGTGGTTTTGCATTCGATGCTCTCAAACCTGTTTAATAAAATGGCACGTCGAATGACGATTTTAACGGAATTTGGTAATTTGTATATAACTTTGAAATAAAAGGATATTTTGTCTTAAAAGACTATCCCGTAGTTTTTGTCATGCCCTAGCCTATCTACCATAAGAATATGAGCGAGATCGAATTTTTCACCCTTGCCGCGAAATTAAGAATTTGTCTGATTTTTACCGACAAGCACTCTTAAGAACAATCCACTTAAACATTAAGTGCCACTCCCGCTAACAGCGGTCCTCTCGACTTCCCGTCCAAAAAAATTTTCCTTAATTGTTTTCTTATGAAAAGGGTTTAGGACACATGTTTTAAAAATAGCGTGTTTGTTTTCCAATTCTCTTTTTTTGCCTCGCCACAAGCAAAAATTGACTTTTGGCTAGACCACCCATGTAGACAAAGATCGAAAGAGTAAATTTCACAGCTTTTGTCGAGCGTGCTGCGACTGTGATAGTGTAGTTCACGGAGTTCTCTCTTGCTTAAAGTTGTAAACTATATTCAGTCAGTTCACAGACAAAATATGGAAACTTCACTTGAAATCCTATTCATACTAGCGTGATCAGAAGAGACCCTTCCCTTCGACCTTAATTTGCACATCAAAAATTAGCCAATTTAAAAGAAATAATTCTCAAACTGCAGGCCCAAATCGGGCTAAAAAAGCATAACGGAGGATACATTATACAAGAATGAGGTCACGGATTGCTTCAAACCTGCGGGCATCTCTCTAGCTTTCATCCACCATCATCTTAAGAACAACGCAAATCAATGTCTTTACTTAATCACGCATGTGTCAAAAGCTAATTTGCATAATTCTGAAAGATGACCAAGATATGTCTTTGACTGTTCAAACTTGATTCTTTTATCTTCTACGTAAAGTATTTTAGGTTTTCATAACGGTTGGATAGTAAATAAATCGCGAGTTGCCCTAAAACGTTGCATAAACATGATCAGTCGTAACGCTTGCATGACTTACAAAGCAAACAAAGGCGATCGGAAGGCGCGTCCTCGATAATTTTCCTTGAATCAGGTCAAGAGCCACGTACAGAGTGGAGAAGATCAATATTAAAGAATCCAATTTGGCATTCTTGTCATTGCAGACATACTGTGTAGCTTAAAAGGACACACAAACAAGTTAAAATACATGTACGTTACGGTGTTATTTACAAAACAACCTTTTGCAAGAATTCTTGCAGTTTCTACCGAGGTTTAGCACGCGGAATGCAGTCCACAGGCCCTCCTTCCTAAACATTTTCTGCTATCACTAGAGATCCTATGTTGTTGCAGTCCTCAACGTTCTTGCGCGACAAACTTAATCTTTTCCTGCGACTATCAAAACCAGCTAGGCAAATACTGCGTTGCGTGATTATGCTAATTAATAGACATGTCATGTGACGCAAATGTTGGTAACAAAATACACCTCTGTTAGTAAATGAGTAGAAAGTCGAGGAATATGAGTATAAAAATAATTTCGTAGATATGGTACTTCAGACTTTTCGATTGTCCGAACGTCAGCGTGACATACCTCTCAGCTTGGAGGTAATTTGTTGATGATAAAGATATCCAAGCCGATAATAATGGCGAAACGATGGCAATCCCCTCTACATTTCTCTTTATAACAATGCTAACTTTCTTTATCTCCATACTTTTGTTTCAATGTATGATGCATTTCGCGGTGAAATCGGTCGAAGCTAGGGACCGGTAATTATTTATAATCTGGGAGGGGTACAGGGGGGAATCGTAGGATGTTGGTAGTATTACAATAAATGTCACCTAAACCCGCTCTAGGGCTTTCTGATATTCGTATAACCCCCACTTTACAATCTTTGCATGCGGAATGTCCGCTTTCAAGCGGCTCCTTTATTCTTTATTTCGTCTTCGGACTGTGTTTTTTCGTTAAGCGCAGTTTTGCGGTAATTGTAACAATGTAAGTATTGTCGTTTCAAGTTGGCTCGGTGTATTTGTTTCCTATCCCCTTTACTTAATCAATTGTTTGCAATTTTGTATTTATTTATTACTTTTAAGTTTCAACCCACATCGTTCACCATCAATAAATCGGCTTTTTTTAATCAGTAACAGCAGTTAATTTTCGTCAGTCCCCCTTTAAATTCTGCTGGCGACAACTTATCCCCACTTTGTTTCCCCTAAAAACCACGTAATTCCCCGCTGGCGATAAGTAGTGACAGGTCCCTTAGCTTCTGTTTCCACTAACTATCCCCACTGCGAATGTAACTTATCTCCGTATTTAAAACACCTGAAAACTAGTTAAAGTAACGATCGAAAGTCATGAAATTGAATAAAGGACAGAGTTAGAGATAGCCTTTCTAAATTTCTTGGGAAAATGTGCATTCGTAACCATGTCACTCAGTTTCTTGAGTAAGCTGACCTTCAAATCTTTGTCTTTGAAAGAATTTTCAACAAAGGCACAAACTTTAC